AAAAGACCACAAAGTTACTCTCAAGATAGGAAAAGGGAGGAATACTCCTTGATTTAAAATAAGGAAAAGTATGTGTAAGGGTTGTATCCTTTCTCTATACCTATTCAAGCTACATGGTGAGCAAATCATGTGAGAAGCTGGGCTATGTGAAGAAGATAGTGGCAAACAGAATAGATGAAGACTCATCAACAGCCTGTATTACGCAGGTGATACAAACTTGATTGCTGAAGGTGAATAAGATTTGAAGCACTTTCAGAGGAGGATCAAAGAATACAGCCTTCAATTTTGGTTGCATCTCAATATCAAGAAAATAAAAATCCTTACTATGGGCCAACAAGCAGCATCATGAGAATGTAAAAAAGATTGAATTTACCAATTACTTCAGCTAGTTTGAGTCCACAATCAACACTCATGGTAGAAGCAGTCAAAAATCAGAACATTTGTTGTATTGGGGTTATCAGCTATCAAGAACTTCTTAAAAATGTAAGGATGTCAGTTCTTTCACGTGCTTCCTATGCATCTGAAATTTGGACAACGAATAAGGAAGACAGAAGAACTGACACCTTTGAAGTGATGTTGGCAAATAGAGTTGAATACACTATGGACGGCTAAAAGAATAAACAAGTTTGTCTTGGAGGAAGCACAACCAAAAAGCTCCTGGAAGGGAATAGTGGTGAAAAGTCTTCCCACATACGTTGGGCATGTTGTTAGGATGGGAGAGGCCTGTCCTTGGAGAAAGATACTGTTCTGAGAAAAGGTAGAAAGTCAGAAAAAGAGATGAAGAACTCAAGGCAATAATTGATGCAGTGACTGAATAGGATTGAGCATAGCAAAGATCGTGAGGACAGCACAGGGTAAAACCACGCTCAGGTCTATTTTTCCACAGGGTTACTATGAATCCTAGTCAATTACATAGCACCTAACAACAACAGCATCATTCAATATTTTGCCCAAACAACCTACCACTATTGCTACTGGTGAGTTGAATCCTTCCTTCATTTTCCCTCTTAACAATTGACCTAGATTTATGTTAAGCTCTCAGAAAAGTTTCCCTACTAAAAAAATTTGTAGTTCAGAAATACTCAGGCAACTCTAAAGAATAGTCTTGTGATCAGCTTCTCAATGGTCATAGCCATGAAAGCACAAGGAAGCCCTGCTCTTCTCTTCAACATATGTGATCATCATAATTCAGAGCTTTTGCAAAGAGCTAGGTAGCTGCCAGGTTATCAAGTACAAAAATGTTTTAAATATCAATAAATATCAACAATATTATTATGTTGAATAGCAGAGAAACAGATAAATGTGAATGAATAGAAAACGGAATTGTGTCTAAATGCATAAAGAAACTTGGAATATAATAAATGCGTGATTTTAAGTAAATGGCAGGAAAACTAAGCATTATAAAGACATTACTATGTAAGAAAATTATTAAAATTCAATCTCTTTAATTTCTTGCATCAAAATAAATATTCAGTGGTGCTGAAGAAGACTATTGAGAATACCATGGACTGCTAGGAAAAAAAACAGATTTGTCCTGGAAAGGGTTAAACCGGGTGGCTCCTTGGAGGCAAGGATTCTGAGGCTCCGTCTAACATACTTTGGACATGTTGTGAGG